CCAGTTCCCATGATCGCTGGGGGCCACGTGCCCATCTCCCAGATCATTTCAGTAACAGTGTGGATAAGAAGGAAACGAGCCAGAAAGCACACAGACCCTCACTCTGACAGCTCCATACACAAGAAGCAATAGGTCCAGAGAAGGCTGGAATGGGTGGCAGCCTTGAGGGTCCAGGGGGCAGGTTCTTCCCAGGTGGACAGGACAGGGTGAAGGGAGCTTTCAACTTGGTGGATCCCAGAGAGGAGCAAGGGAGACACCCTACTCCACGGCTGAAGAGGATGAGAACAGAGAGAGACCCACACAGGAAGAAAAAGGGAATTCATCCCTTGACTGACTTACTCCAACAACAAAAAGGAAACAGAGGATCTCTGACACAGACTAGCCGCTTCCTGTAGAGGGGAAGGAGGAAGCCACAGACAGAAGGCAGCGAGCTCTGTGCCCCTCCAGGAGCCCCTGGTCTGGCAGGATTCAAGATGAGTCTTCAATAAGGAGCCAGGTCCCTACCCGGGACCAGTTCCCATGATCGCTGGGGGCCACGTGCCCATCTCCCAGATCATTTCAGCAACAGTGTGGATAAGAAGGAAACGAGCCAGAAAGCACACAGACCCTCACTCTGACAGCTCCATAAACAAGAAGCAATAGGTCCAGAGAAGGCTGGAATGGGTGGCAGCCTTGAGGGTCCAGGGGGCAGGTTCTTCCCAGGTGGACAGGACAGGGTGAAGGGAGCTTTCAACTTGGTGGATCCCAGAGAGGAGCAAGGGAGACACCCTACTCCACGGCTGAAGAGGATGAGAACAGAGAGAGATCTGGAGAAGAGCAACAAGGCAAAAACGTCAGAAGGAAACTGAGGTGTGAGAGGGGTTCCCGGATGCCAGTATTCTGACCAAAATAAATGATACTCAAAGGGATCTTTTCTTAGCTCAACTCAGATGCCACACAAATAGGGACTGCCCTAGTACGAAGAAATACGTTCCCCTTCAATTTGAGTGTCCCACCTTCTCCCCACCAAGACTGACTCGACTCCTGGGCAGGGTTTTGGCAACTTCATCACTTGCTGATCCCCCCCTCTCGCTCCTCACACCTTCACAGTGGCCACAGAACTTCAAGATGTTAATGTCTGAAGGTCTTCCAGCCCAAGCCCCTTTTTATGTGGGTGGGAGGGCCCAGAGAGGGGAAGTAATAAATGAAGATGTTCCATCTTCCTTTTCAGCCATGTCCACGGCCAACCCCATGGCCATACCCATCCTCAAGTGAAAGATTCACAGGTTTTATCACCTTACCTTACCTGTGAACCTTATCTCCAGGATTGCTAGTTATTCATTGTGTTTATTACCAGGCGCAATGAATCATTAGTTGTGCAAATAGCTGGTGGTTCAGAAGAGGACCCTGGGCAGGCAGAGACGATTCAGCTGATATGGTTATACAAGCCGAAATGCGGGACTTTGGACTTTGTTGTCGCCAGGTTTGTAGCCTTAACCTCCTGAGATAATAACGCAGAAAGAAGCAATGGTAATTAAAGACACAGAGTGCTGTTAGTTAGTAAACGAGCACTCTTCATTTCTTGAGTTTTGCTAAGAGAGCTGGGCTGGGAGGAAAAGTGGCAAGAGCAGCTCCTCTGGTAACACTGGACTGGATGGATCTGGAAACCTCAGCTCCCCCGCCTGGGCCTTAGTTCCTTCATCTGGACCTTGAAAGGTTTGCAGGAGAAGCCAAAGGGCTCTCCCAGTTAGAACAGAAAGTCAGAGGAAGGGCTGCTTGGTGATGGGAAAGTGGGGGCGTGACACATTCCCCAAATCAATAGGCCTCCAGTGCTCTTCTAAAACCTCAGTGATCACCAGCAAGGGGTGAAAAGATAGCCTGAGCCAGCTTCTCAGAGCGTCAGTGCCTCAAACCCTATGCACTACAATTGCTCTGGAGCGCCTGTTTCTACACTGGCTTTGTGATTTGTGGCTGACACTGGAGAGTGTCAGCCTCTGTGGGAACAAGATGGGAACTGATGAGCTGGCCAGCCATCATCGACTCCCTGGGCTTGCTGAATCACCCTTGACATCCTGCCTAGAAGCAGAGGCTTGGAGGAGGTGGGTGACCTCTTGAAATCTCAGGCCAGGCCCATGATTCTGTAATCTCTGCTTTGCCACAATTAGGGAGGGAAACCAAGAAGGGGAGGAGAAACCATCGACTGTGTTCTCTGGGATTCACTCGACAGCTTGGAAAAAGAACACAGACGGAGACAGAGAAACGGCCAGGAAAGGAGCCAGCCACAGTGAGTTTAACCTCTCAGTAAAATAAAGACTAGCTGGACATACCTCATCAGCTGCCCTCTGTCAATACTCAGGTCCATCTGGCAGAACCTGAGGTTCCCAACTAACAGGCATTTCCCATTGAGCCAGCAAAGAAGGGCTTTTGAAAAAAATATGTGGTGGTGTTGTAAGAGGGGTGTGTGTGCGTGCGAGTGTGTGTATGTGTGCATGTGTGTGTGAGCTGGCTGAGGGCTGCCACACTTCCCAAGGTGCTAGCTCTGGAGATCTTCTATTATATAAAAGTACAGACATTCCCCACCCCCACCCCTGAGCTTCAAGATGAAGAATCCAGCCTGTTTGTTCCAGGCAGATGTAATCACACGAACAGTCAAGTCTAGAGGGCAGGACACTGCATGAATAATTCAAGCACTCCAGTCACTTGATTGTGTGTGCAGATAAAACACCAGTCAACCGCTAAACAGGTCAGCTGATAAACTTGTTTGCTCAGGCCTAACCACCATCCACCAAATGCACCCAAGACCCACACTACAATTAGTGGCCGGTTTTCTTCTGCAGAACCCTAGCAAGCCTAGGGAGTGGCCAGCCCCAGGAGGTCAGGACTGCATTTCTCAGTGCTGGGTTTCTTCACCTCCTTGCCTCTTTGTTCCTACACAGCCACAGGGTGATTTCACCCAACTCAGAGGTTGCCGTAAACCCAGCAAAGGCACTGTGCTCAGGGCACAGACAGTCCTGCTGGGAAGCAAGTGGGAGCTGAGGCTCCAAGGCAAAGGTGAGTGGCAAACAGGGTAAAGTGCTCGGTCTGGAAGCCAGAGGCCCTCATTCAAGTCCCACCTCTGCACTCCTGGCTTCCCTAAAGCCTCAGTTTCCTCACCTATAAAAAGGGGGCAAAGAACACATCTATCTCCCTCTGGCAGCTGAGAGGATTAAATGAGATCATGTCACCAAACCTCAGGCATTCTCCCCCTAAGAACCCTGGGTCTGGGGACGGGCCAGCAGCCCGAGATGCACACAGCTGCTCCTTATGTAAACCTCACCAATGAATGTGCTAGGAAGGTGAATAACTCTTCCTGGGTTCAGAGTGGCCCAGGACTCCAGGAGCAGCTCCGCTCCAACAGCCAAGATGGATTCTTTGTGCCAAAGAACCATCCACTTACAGACACAGGGAACACCACCCATGCAGACCTCAACATGCAATGACATATTACACCTTAATTACGAAGCTCTTAGAAGAACGGCTGCTATAAATTTTAAACCTGGGTGCAATTACCCTCTTTAAACACACCCAAGATAGCAAGCACTGAGGACAAAAAAAGAGGGGTGGAGAATGGGAGGAGGTGGCATCTTGCATAACAACCCAAGGTCCTTGAACACCCGGGACCCCCGTTCCACTTCACACATTCTTAATGAACCAGTCGGATCCAGCCAGTTCCACTTAAAGTAAGGCAGTCTCTAGCCCATACTCCCGAGGACAAACATCTTTACTTACAAACTTGTGTCTGTTTATGATTCTTGTGGAACTTAAAGCCTGGTACCCTTTTCCCGTGTCTCCCTAAAAAGCTAATCCCTGACTGCCTCCCCAGATTCCTCAACAAACTGAGGCCCCTCTCTAGCTGCCCTTCACCCAACACTAGGGTTCCCTCCAGGAGGGGGAAGGAAGCTAGATTCCAAAGGCTCTCTGTGAAGCCACTGGAGCGAGCAGGCAGGAATCTACAAGCATTCCAGAGGTCACCTGCCCTTCTCACCTGCCCTGGGTCCTGCCCCCTTAAAAAGCAAAATTTAAACCTTGTAAACCACTGTTCATTTAGAGCAGAAAATCCATTCAAGTCACGGTCACCAAAGGCTAGAATGAGTCAACAGCCTTCTGAGATTTCAAGAACACCAATTGTTAAAAAGAACAACCGGCCCGCGCCATTTCTCCCTGCCAAGTCAACGCTAATCGCTGGCCAAGCCAAACTATAGGCGGCCTCTCCTCGGAACACAAATATACAAACAGGCCGCTCCCACAGCCCAGCCCAGCGCCCAGGACGAGTTACTGATATGCACAGAGATAAAGGTGTTTGTATTTGCCCGGTTTGAGGTATACTGTTATTAGAAGAGTGACAATACGGGGTAGTTTACATATCCATCACACACCAGCTAAACTGGTTTGACTTCAGGATTTCAAAGCTGAGCTCAACCCCCAGCCATCTCAGAAGTCCTGGCTAGGCTGCTCCTGGCTTGTTACTTCACCTCTCAGCTTCACCCTAGAAAATGGGAATGACCAAGGCAGCCTTTACAATAAGATGGAGATGAGAAAGTTGCCTCATATACGCAAGGTACCGGGCTGTAATTCATCCTTCATTTATATTTTTAAGTGGTAGGTAGCCTGTTTCCTTAAATTTTGACAGCTCAGCCTGGCTTTTAAGACTCTTGAAGTTTAATCTTATCAAGGCAGAACATCACATTTTTGCTCATACACACACACACACACACACACACCCTCCTGCCTTTCCTTTTGTAAATTTTACATTAAAACAGATTAAAGCAGCCAGCTACATCTGGGTTTCAGGAGTTTGTAAAGCGGATCCTGAAGGGACAACTTTCCTTTTGCTCCTTACCCCTCCACCAAGATCCAAGACCATAACAAACTTCACAAGCTCGGATGCTAAAAGCCCAACATGTCTGAGAACTCAACCAAGCCTCAGACCCTGCCTGTCAAGAGCTGGATATGTAATTAGATATACATCCTAAAGCACTTACCTGCTTGTGCATCTCAATGTTCAAACCGTAGGACATCTCGTAGTACTAAAAGCAAAAAGAACTGCCATTAACGCACAACACCAAAACCTGTGTTCCACAAATCGTCTTTGGAGAAGGTTTTGGCCAAATGGTACTTTTAGAATACATTTGCTAAAGAAGTTTAAGTCAAACCCCAAAGCCAGCTACAAAGGGGCTGAAGAATCATAAGAAGGACTCAGGAGTGTTGTTCTCATCTCAACAGAATACCCTAATGTGCAATAAATAGTGTAAGAAGAGTTGGGCCCTCCCTCCCACCAGCCCGGCCTGTGCCATATATCCTGTTTATACAGCGTTCGGGTTCAACAGGGAATCATGTGTACACTGGGAGCGCCTGCCCTATCAGAGTTATTTAGCAATGTGTCCAAGGTCTCTCATGTGGAGAGCAATGCACGGGGTCCCACAGAAGGGCCTCCAGTGCCGTCCTCACCATCAGAAGATTAAAACTTGCTGGAAGAGACACTGGGAAAAGGGAGGACACGTCTACACACTGCCCCAGGGTCCATGAGATTCTCAGTGGGGTGATCCCTAAGTGAGCATGGAGGCAAAAGGCTCCTCCACTCTCAGGAACCCCTGGGGAGAAAAGAGGGAGGGGGAGAGATCCTATGTCCCACTCTGGCTAAATCCCAGAGCTGCAGAGCAGAGACGTTTCTACACACTCCCAGGAGGTCTCTAAGAACGATTTTTATCCAACCCCGATGTGGGCTGATCCAACCCTATCTTACTAGTGAAGACAGGACAACCGGCCCTCGGGGAAACCTTCAGAACACAAATCAAAGGCGCACAAAGGTAGTGTGCGAGGACGGGGGTTGGGTTTCTCTTCCTGCCCCTCCTCTCACCCACCCTCCTCCAAGTGGCCCGGGCTGACGGAGGCTGGTGAAAAAGGGTGGGATGGCACACTCGGACTGCACCCGCTGCGGGGGCTGCCCCGCGGAGGCTGGGCAGGGCTCCCCAGGCCCACGCCACCCTGGCCGGGTCCCAGCCGCCTCTCACCATCACATAATGGCGCTGCATCTCCGTCTTCTCGTTCGCCAGCTTGTCGTACTCCACTTTGAGGCTACGAGGGCAGGAGGAGCCGGCTCAGGCCTGGTGCCTGCACAGCCTCCTCTGGGACCCCAACCCCGGGGCGTCTCAGAGCCACTTGGCCACTTTCCTGACACCCACCCCCGGGGGTGCTCCCCTCATCCCGCAGCCTCGGGCGGAGGGGGACGTGGGTCCCCGACACAGGCAGAGGGAGTGTAACAACTTGAAACTTTCCGCGGCCGAGCGAGTGAACTTATCCGGGGCGCCGGGTGGGGTGGGGTGGGGGCCGGGACCCTGACGCTGGCTCGCGGCCCCTTGCGACCCCCAGAACCCGGAGCGGGCCGGCTCGCGCCCGGATCCCTCAACTTCCCTCACCCCGGGAGCCGCACGGAGAGCCGGGAGACTGCCGGCAGCAAAGGGTTAAGGCGCCGCGCTCGGAAAGGGGAAACAAAAGGAGGAGGCCCGGGCTGCCCCGCCGCCCCGGGGTCGAGAGCCCGCTCAGTCCCCGAGGGGTGGTGGCAGGAGCCGCGGCGGGGACGCCCCCGCCCTGCCAGCCCCGGGGCGGCCCCCAGAGGCCTTACCTGTGATATTGAGCTTGAAGGAACTGGAATTCGTCTTTGATCCTGTCACAAGACTCAGCCACCGTGAATTTAAATCCTGGCTGCCCTGGTTGATGGGGAGCCTGAAGCCGGCCAGGACAAGACAGGGGAGGGGCGGGGGAGTCAGACCCGGCTCCAAGCTGCCCAGGCCCCTCAGCGGCTTTCCCCGGTCTCCCCCCGCCCCCACCTCAGCCAAAGGGGCCTCCCACAAAGCCCAGAACCTTCCCAACAAGTTTCTCCAGTCCTCGACGGGGAGGGGGGCGCCCTAATCTCTCCCTCTCGGCCGCGGGGCTCCTATCCCTTTTACGAAGGGGCTCCTATTCCCAAGTAAGACGGGGACAGAGGAGACAACGAGTGAGTTGGGAGACTTAGGCGAGGGGGCGGGGGACAGCATGAAAACAAACAGTTCCCCAGGAACACTGGGAGCCCCTCACGCCATTAGGGCGGAATTAACCTCCTCTCTCTACGGCGCCCCCCATCACCATCCTTTGTGTGAGCGCGCGCGCGCGCGCGCGCGCACACACACACACACACACGCACACATACCATAAAGGTAGCAACAAGCAAAATGGAGGTGCCAGATAAACTGCCTCGTTTACCCTGCCATGATAGACACACACACACACACACACGCACACATACCATAAAGGTAGCAACAAGCAAAATGGAGGTGCCAGATAAACTGCCTCGTTTACCCTGCCATGATAGATGCTTAAATAAACCGAGTTGAAATTACTCACCGGATGTCTGCCTTGCGGATACATGGCAGGGAGGGGTCGTGATTCCGAGAGAGTGGAAGCGCAGAGAGCCCGGGCCGGGGAGGTGCGGGGGAGGGGGGAGCCGAACCCGAGCGGGGGGCGGCCGGGAAACCGAGAGCTCGCCCCCGGCCCCCCCAGCCCGATCTCGCACCGAAATCCCAGAGTCCGGCGCCCGCACCAAGCGGAGACAAAGAGCCGAGGAGCAGGCGGCAAAGTCGTCGGCGGGCGCGGGCTTTGTGCACCTAGGGCTCCGCGAGCTGCGGCCGGCCGCCTTCCCCCCGCTGCGTGGAGCGCGTCAGAGCTGGGGGCTGCGCGGACATCGTCGTCTCCCCGGCGGGTCCGGCGCGGGGTCCCGAGGTCTGGGGGCCCCTCCTGGGGCAAGCGCGGGCGCCCTCCGGTTCACTTAGCGCGTCGCGCCGGGAGGGGGGCGCGCCAGGGCAGCCTCAGCATCCAGGGCGCACGGGTCCGATCCCAGGGGCGGCTCTCGGAGAGAAGAGGAAGGAGGCAGGCACCGTGGTGGCGGCTTGGGGCCGCAGGAGCGCCGGAGGGTGAGGGCGGGAGCCCGGCGCGGGCGCTTCGACGCCCCCCCTCGGAGAGGAAAGCCTGCTGTTCCGTCTGCTACTGCCGCCGCCGCCGCCGCCGCCGCCGCTGCAAGCCCTTCCCAGGGCCGAGGAGGAAACTCCGGGTTCAGTAGGTGGGAATCAACCGCCCTGGCATCCTAACTCCAGTAGGCACTAGAAGCCGACGCAAGGGTGTCCTCGCTGCTCCCAGTCCGAGCGCCGAGTCCCCAGCGAGGAGCGCTCGGTGCCGCCACCGCCGCCTCGGAGCGCGCAGGCAGAAGAGCGCTGGAGGGGAGACGCAGCTCGAGACCCGGGAGCTCTGCGGCTTCCTTCCTTCGCCTCGGCCCGGCTCTCCTCTCCGCGCCCCGTCACTCCCCTCCCCCCCAACCCCAANCCCACCCACCCCAACACACACCCAGCGCGCGCGCACACACACACACACACACACACCAAAAAAGTGCCCCGGACCTGCGGATACCACACACAGACAGGCGAGGGGGACGAGCACGAGGTCTGAACTGCCGCGAGAGCAGTTCCAAATAGGGACTGAAAAGTAACAAAATAATGTGGCAGCTTCGCCCGGCGCTGGCCAATGGGAGCGCGGGGCCCCCACGTGGGGCAGCTGGACTCGGCTTGCGACTGGGCGCCGCCGGGCGCGACGTCACAATGCCCTCTTGTGTCTAAAACTATGCATGAAAAGTAGCAATCAGGCCCTACCCGCTGGTGACTTTCGCATGGGAGTGAAAAACAGCGCTCCTCAGATCAGGAATTAACCGAAAGACATATAATAAATAGATATATATTATAGTCCAGGGCTTCTGGGTTTTTCCCCCCCTCCTCTTTTTTTTTTCCCACGATATACTAGCAAATAATCATTTGGCGGGAGGGGGAAAGAGGGAAAACAGAGGAATAACAACAAAAGAAAGAGACAAGCTGTACAGTCCTCAAAACCTGTGGCTGGTAGCAATGTATCAGTTTATTCTGCAGTGGCGGTGAACGATTCCTCCCTCTAATCTCATTAGGTCTGCAAAGCAGCCCAATTAGATACTATAAAACAAACAGAATCACTTTGTCACTTTAATGTTTTCACTTCACAAGATTTAGGACCGATAAAATGGTGGCTCCCAAAGTTGCCTCCCACCTTAATTCTGGTCGGAACTGAGAGTGTCCCTTTCTTTGCCCCTTCTCCTGCCCACGCCCCCGCCCCCCGCGGTCCCCAGCTTTTCTTCTTTGTTCATTTGTCCTTTACGGAAAGCCAAATAAACAGCGTCTTTGATGTGCTGCGGCTGCCCGCGAGGACAAGTCGGAGGAACTCTTGCTTGGCGGGCTACGCAGATAGAAGGGCCCGTCTGCTCGCGGACACCCCGCACAGTCCGCACTGTCCCCACTCGGGGGCTCCTTCCCGGTGGAGACCGCTACGCCTTCGCCGCAGCTGCCCAGTGAGCGCCGGGGCCAGGGAAGCGGAGTCGGGAATGCGGTGGCGGCCTTACCCCACCATCCCGGGAGCTTCGAGTTCCGACCCGGTTTTCTCAGCCTGCCCCCGGCAGTGTCACGGCGTCGGCGGAAGCCTGCAGAGGGGCGCGTGTGCGAGCCTGTGGGCGTCTCGGCCGCCAGCCTCGACGCCCCGGGAGGCGCAGACGCTCACCCGCCCCCGTTCGCTCCTCTCCCACCCCCACCTCCACGCCTCCGGGACTCCCCGCGCGCTCGCACAGGCCACTCGACTCCGGGGGCCAGTTTGCCCGCAAACCCACAGCCTGCATCTACTGCGCTAGGGGTTACATCAGGGCAGACGGGCCGGGGGGACGCGGCCTTCGAGCGTCGGGAGGCTGGGGGGGCCACGCCCTGGGCCGCAGGGGCACCGCCGGGTGGGGAGCCCAGGTGGACCCTCCTCTCCAGCATCTCCGCGAACCCGCACGCACCCGGGGGCCGGCGGCGGGCCCGGGATCTATATTTTCCCCTCATTAGGAGCTGGAGTTCGCTTTTGCATTTTAATGAGGAGCTGAGAGCGAGCGGGCGCTCGGAGGCCGGTGCGCTGGGAGTTACACGTGAGCGCCCGCCTCGGAGTTGAGCCTCCCCGCGTCCCCTCCGGCCGCCAGTCCAGAACCGCGCTCCTCTCTTCATTTATTTATTTTCCTAAATAAAAACATAAATCGTGTGCGCCACGCACTGAAGAGGGGGGTGGGGAGAAGCCCCGCTCGACAGATGCGAGCATCTGGCCGCAGCATTCATTAGACACAAAATGGCTCCTCTTTGGAGCTTCCTTCCCCCCTCCTCCTTCTCTGCCCTCCCCCTTACGTCACGGGTGGGCGCACCCGCTTCCCACCCGCCCCGCCCCTTTCTCGCCCCTGCCCCCACGTGGGGGCCGAAGACCCCGCCCCCTAGCGAGGCTCAGAAGACCAATCAGAGACTGTTGATGGGAGTCTCAGTTACTGATTGGTTAAATTGCCGAGCCCTGTCAGTCGGCGACCAAGGCTGTCAGTCAAAACCACGCGGGGTGGGGGAGCGCTGACAAATGCCGAGGCTTCTGAGCCTCCCGCTTGCAAATAGTGCTTGGAATGGCTGCTTAATTAGCTTTGAATGGCTTTTCCTTCCAGCTCAAACAATCTGTCACTACCATGTGGTATAAAGGAGCCATGCATAAAAAAGTAAGCAGAGGCTAAATATCAATTTGATTTTGTGTATCAAAGGAATATTTTATTTTTCTCCCTAGTAATGAAACGTATCAATTTAAATAATAAAAGGTAAAAACACACACACAAACCAAAAAAAGAAAAAAAAAGAAGAGGGGGGAAAAAAGAAAGAAAAATGGGAAAAAACCAAACTCGACGGTTCTCCGACTCCTGTGCAAGCCTTAAACAGGCAATTTCTACAACCCACGTTCAGGAGGAAGCCTAAAGAGTACCCCCCTCCCCACCTCTTTCAAACTTGCATTAAGTGTTCTGTTGCCGTCCAGAAGTCTAGGAGGAATGATGGGGGAGGGGTGGCCCGTAAAAGAGGAGGTGGGGGCGAGGAAGGGGGCAAACTTTAAAGGGAGCTCTTTGAAGCTGCTAATCAAAGTGGAGGGGGTTTTTAAAACCCCATAAACTTGGGGTCCCGCAGCAGGTCTCGATTTGGGAGCTGAGAGGGAGTGGGGGGTGGGGGGAGAGAGTGGGTGTGCGTCTCGCCCGGATTTATTAAACACAATGCCTTCAAGATGCCCGGGATGCGGCGCCTGGTCTGGCCTTCCCTCTCTCCGTTCTCACTTAAGACTGGCCTCGATGGCGTCCTCCCGCAGTTGGCCGACAAACATGGCCCCCAAGTCGGGTCCACGCGGATCGGGGCCAGAAGAGAGGTCTGGAGTTTGCTGTCGCTTCTGCCTGGGCGACCACTCTCCTAGTCGTTGAGCCAGTGCCCTCCTGCCGGGTAGACTCAGGTCGAGTTCACCTGTGAGCCTCTGTGCCAGCCCTGGAACCTTGGAGCCCTTGTGTGATCTACCTGGTTTTGCAGAGAGCCGCCTCCTCGGCAGGATTCCACTGTAGGACCCCACCACCGAGTTTGAAATGATAGTGGCGCCAAATCTCTTTCTATGTACAAGGCAGGACACTGCTACTCAGGCAATCCCGAAGGAAGCGGCCTGACTGGTAGCCCTGTTTTATAGAGTAAAAGAAAAGATCTAGAAAGTCCAGTAATTTGCCCCAAGGTGGGCATAGGTGTCAGGATTCGAGTCCAGGGCAACCGGTTCAACAGCCAGCTTCAAAGTCCTGTTTGATAGCAAGAGCTGGACCCCGTGGGATATGTGCTAAAGGAAAGGCATTCACTCATTCATATTCATTCATTCATTCACACTGAGGGTCTGGCAATGAGGTCACAGGCCCAGCTCCCCAGCGCAGGGCTTCCACTGGCTCCTCACAAGTCTGCTGGGTTTCTGGCCTCCAGCATGTAGAGGAGCAGGGAGGTAAAAGCAACTAGCCCAGCTCCCCTTTCAGCTCGCCACCTCTTTACCCCCCACCTTGCCACCCCACAAATTAGGAAAACACGGAGAAAAATAATTTTTTATGCTGGAGGTAGAAAAGAAAAAACGTGTATACGACACCCCGCCCAAAGCGCTTGACAATTATTTTTCAAGAAGGAGGGGAGTGGAGAGAGAGAGTTCAAACGTCTCTGTCTCCAGTTCTAATTGGAAACGTTTCAACTGTTTATGTTACAAGAAGTGTCAGGGTCATTTGCTACCGGAGAGCTGACTTTTCATTGGCTGCTTAATTGAGTACCTCGGAGTCCACCCCACGTGGGAGAGGAATTCCTGGCACACACATACACACACACACACACACACACACACACACACACACACACACACAAGTCACCCAGTGAGACAGAAAGCCCGGCCTGGATTTGCAGAGAGGAGGTTCCCCAGCCCTTCGCTGGGGGGTGAGAGGTGGTTGGTGGGCAGTTGTTCACCAGCTCCAAGAGCTGCTTTTCTGGCTTTTAAAAATTAACTGCCAAGCATTTTAGATAGAGTGTTAATAAATGGTTTCTCTTTTTCCCAGGAATCAAAGGACTTGACTCAGGTCAGTCACAGGGCTGTGGCCTCCAATTTGAGGAAGAGCTCAGTACCTTGCGGCTTAGATGGTAAAGAATCTGCCTGCAATGCAGGAAGGAGACTAAGGATCCATCCCTGAGTCGGGAAGATCCCCTGGAGAAGGAAATGGTAACCCACTCCAGTACTCTTGCTGGGAAGTCATATAGATAGAGGAGCCTGGAGGGCTACAGACCGTGGGGTTGCAGAGAGTCAGACACCACTGACTGACTAAACTTTTACTTTCAGTACCTTGGGTGGGTTTCAGATCACTCCGTGTCATCCCTTCCCCCACAGCCTCCACTGGCTTTGATTTTCTCCTGGTCTGTCATTGGGACTGCATGCACAAAGGGAAGAGAAATCTTTCTCTGTCCTCTCCCATTTGGCTGATTCTATAAGCCTCCTCTGATGGTTGGCCCTTGACTCCATTGCTAGGGCAGTTCTGTCCCTTCACCTTCACCACCCCTATCCACCAGTCATCCCCAGCCTTCCTCCACAAGTGAGCACCTCACCACAAAGGAAAAGGAAAAGGAATTTTTATTTATCTAACAAACTCTTACATAGTGCTTAACTCTGTCCCAGACAGTGTTCTAAGCACTTGACAAATATTAACACACTTAATCCTCTCACAGTGAATGAAGTGGGTACTATCAGTATCACCCCTGTTATACAGGGGGGTGGGGGGGGCAATTGACATGCCATGTACAATGACTTGCCCAAAGTCACTTCAGTGGCTGATGGACTTGAACCCAGGCAGTGTGGCTCCAGAGTCTTCACCCCCACACTCCACTGTCTCTGCAAGCTTGACTTTCCTGGGAATGCAGATCAGGGCCACAGAACAGACCACAGGAAACAGGAAGACCCCGAGTAAGTCCGGACAGAGCCCCTATAGAGCTCATTCTGCAACCACCTTATTTCAGGGAAGGGAACTAGCTCTAGGAGGTCGGGGGGACTTCCCAGGGTCTCCTTATCCCCTCTTCCAATTCTCTGGCTGGTCCCAGCTGTGTGACCTGGAGGGATGTATTTAATCTTGCTAAGCCTCCATTTCCTCATCTGTAAAGTGGAGA